TTGTGACCCGTATATGCTGTGTATTAGTTTCTTCTGTAGTATCATTTAATTTTCTCCTATCGCCTTTTGTTAATGATCGTGTCTCGCAAAGTATATGTTATAACTGGGCGCAAGTGATTATGATAAAGGCGAGTTTTTCATATCCATGAAAGTAGTTTTGGTTGCAGTAGTTTGACTGTACCATAATAAAACTTGTTCCCGCACATAATTCATTCATTCAATTCCCGGTGCACATTATTATTATTGTTGACATTTACTCTTAAGTACTTAAAGTTATACACCACTTCAAATTGCATACTACTAACCAGAAGATCGTTTGAATTCTGATTGTTTCTTGACATCATCATATACATGATCATATTTCTATTCATTAATATCCTAACCATTGAGTTTTTTGCTTGAAGCCGTTTCTCAGTTTTTTAACGATTTCTTCTTTAGTCATTCCCAACTCTAAAATATCATAAGCATGATCCAAACTCATCGACTCTTCAACTATGTTTATTTTCCGTTGTTAGTTTGCATCACTTATTATTTTTTTCAGAGCTAGATTGATTAATGTGTGCTTATATATGCATTTTATCATATATAAATAATAATTATAATATTATTATTAATGTTTTCTTAATAACGTGCATCAAGTTTTTCAAGTGAAAACAGTACTTGATGTAAAAAAATTAATTACTTGTATGCACATGAAAAAATATTAGATGTGCGTTATTGCTAAAGTTTATGAAGGGTAAAAAATCACGATTAAGAGTATAGATGTCGCACATCTTTGATTTTCAAGATTAATGACTTTTTGTTACTGGGCCTAATACCAATTTGGATTATTTAATAAATCCCTTTTAGGTTTGGATTTTTGATAAAATTAAGTTTTTTAATTATTCGTTTGAAACTTTTATAATCCCATTGAGAAATTATCAATTAGTCTTAACGAAATTAGATGCTAATAACTTATTGACAACATAATATACGTTACAGATTAAATTCGAATAATTTCTAATGGTGTATTATTATTCTAAAATTATAATTAAGACATTCGCATGTTAAGTTTGTTCAGTCTTGAGTAGTACTTCGAATAAAGTATTCAGAATAACTTAAAAATAATTTTCCCAAAATTGTTACATGCTTCATTCTGAACATACTTAAAAGTATTCCAAATAATATGTTCAGAATACTTAAGTAATGTTATGATTATTTTTTTTTCTGTGATTTTGATTAGTAATTAATATAATTTAAAACAAATGTACAAAACATATATTTTGTGTCCGAAATTCGTTATTAATAATATCATAATAATAATATATATATATATTAATTAATAATGGTAATTTTTTCAATAATTTTATACAATAATAAAATTGTGATCGGTATTGGTTCATATGTTCACTGATTGGTGATTGCCGATCGGCAATACCGACATTGCAATAAAAATAATGCTATAAATACAATTGTACATAAAAGACTCAGTTTTAATTAGCTATTGGCTTACAAGTATTTTCTACTGTAACTATACATCTGTGTCTGTGAATCATTAGGCAGTGACGATACAAATAATTATTTTTATTGATCAAAAAAATTATCGATAATTACAACTAAAAGTTTGGATTCTTTAATTGAAACACCAACAATTAGAAAAGTATTTGTAAAGTTAAACACACCACTGTCAAGCAGTGCAGCTGTAAAACGTGCCTTGAGTGTTTGTAGTGCCGTTGTTGACTGAAAAAAGAGGGAGAATGACAGAAGTAAACTTCAAAAACACATTAATGATAAAATGTTTAATATTTTGTTTAAATAAACACTATTTACGTTCCTAATTTAGCATGTATTGTTCTTATTTGTGCATACCGAATGAACCTAATTTAATGCATTAATACCTTAAATGTCTATCTTCATGAAAGATGAAATATTTTGGTAATATAATTAATATTATTCGTAAGAGAAAATAATAGCAGATGAAACAAAAAAAATATTTTAAAAACATTTGGAATACTTTTAAAGTACTCTAAAATTTAAAATTTAAAATTGAATACTTTATTCAGAATACTATTCTTATGGAGCATTCCAATACCTTTACTACTATACAATTTACTAACCTACTATTTTTCATGAGTATTCGAGTATTTATTTTAAATACTTTTAAAAGATATTTTGCCCAAGACTGAAATTGTTAAATTACAGTTTAATTTCACGGATAAAAATGAATTTAAAACATTTCTCAACGTCTTCTTATTAAATTTAATGTTTTGAGACTATTGTACAAATAATAACGTGATGCGAAAATAAACTAGATTTAAACTGCGTGTATCGTGACGTTCCACCAAGTGGTCTTACAGGTACCTATAGTGGACTGACGTAAGAATATTATCATCACACTTTTAGCCAAAAATCCGATAAATAATAGCGTATAATTTATAGAATTTCAGTACACATATAGATTCAATTTATACGGAAGCCTAAAGAGTAACTAGATTTCCAAAAGGGATTCGTGCTGAACTTAAAGCTGTAAAATGTGTCATTCACTCTGCATTGGTGAGGTCGGTTTTAGAATTCGAGTGCGTAGTTACGAACCTATCTCAGTCTAGTTAAATTGAAAACTCAAAGGCGTTTTATACATATATTTGAAAGTAAAATAGGCTTATTAAATATAAGTCTTCCGCAGATATTTCTAACTATATTGGTCTATGAGTACCTAAAGGTAGTATTCGAAAATATTTACATGTAGCGTTCATTTACAAGTTGATAAATCATAGTGTAGACTATCCGAATTTTTTGTCTCAAAAAGGTTTAACAGCCCCCCTGCCTTTCATTCTAGAAATATATCCAGATTTTATTTACCCCGAAGTTCTAAAAATTATACAAATAACATATCCGATATACCGCTTTTCTAAGTCATGTAACAAACTAGTTAATTTTGACTATAATCTTGATCAGGTATCTAAATTGAAATCGCATGTATTTAATTAATCGGATAAAGCTATAAGTGATCGAGTATAAAATCAATGTACATTTATCCCTTGCTGCTATTAATTAATATATAAATAAAATAATATCAATAATATTATTATTATATTTTAAATAAACCGAAATGCTTATAAATCTGACGCAAATAGCTCGAATTTTTATTCAAGCCATTTTTTTTTATCGACAATCAGAAATTTTCCAAACATTTTTTTATTTATTTTTTGCCTGTTCTGATCACCAAGAGCAGACAGTAACAATCGATGAAAAATAACTTATAAACTGCAATGACGGTTTACCGTCATGTTATATTTTGTTTGTGCGTATTTAATCATAATTACTATGATCACAGTACCGTTTTAAACGGTAGTTACCGTTGTTTGCTAACTATAGGATAAATATAATAAAATATCAGAATAATGGCAAAGGCCATTAAAAGCCCCAAAAATGTGTTAAAAATGAATGGATAAGATAAGATAACTGTTACTATTTTCAAACCGATATTCGTGAAAATGTGTTTCGAGATTGCGTTCAGAGCTGATGATGTACTTCCTTCTCGTACATTACAAATCTTGACGGTTATGACTTATAGCATTCGTGTACGGACCGTGTTAGCATAACAACAGGTATGTGCAGACAATTGACGACAACCCGATTGAACTTTATAATTTTATTGTCAAGCATATCGCATTGTGTTACTCAACACATAATAGGAGAACAATATGGTACTGGAGGAGGTCGAAAAACGTGATTGAAACGTGCAGGATTGAATAAATTAAAATGTATAGAACACGTTTCAAAAGAAAAAAAGAAAATTAATTATCAAAATCAAAATTCTCTCCAAACTTAACAGAAATCGTCCACAAGAAGTAGCCGTGTGTGACCGGAGTAATTATTTCTCGAGGATGTTGCATTGCCTGCAGTCGATATTCGACCAAAAGCGATGTACCATACTTAGGACCACTAAAGGACCACTACTTAGGACTCCTATCTACTTGCTCCGATCACTCTAGCAGTAACCCCATTAATTTATATCCCTCTAGATTATGCTAATTTTATGACTTATAATCGATTTCTTTGTCACTTCTTTTTCTTGCCGTCTATCAAACATCACCGTCGTAATACGTATTGCTAAGTCTCAAAGCGTACATTTTATAACGTTAACGAAAACAGTAATCGATCAACGGCAACCGATTATGCGGTCGAGACGAGGCGAATTGTTCGTGAACAATGCGGACCGCGGCGTTTCGATGTTATCGACTACCATGTGATATCACTGCACGTGCATCTACTTCCCCGAAGAAAAGAACAGCGACTCGGATTTCGCTGGTTTTCAGTACAGCGCAGTGGCGGATTAAACATTATAATCAGTTTTAATCTCTTTTGTAAGAAAAAAAAAAAAACCCCATTAATCACGATTTTTATCGTCGTCGATCGACTCGGAAATGTGCGTGCACTAGTGCTCTGCGTGATCCGGTTTTAATCAGTCCGGTCTAGTACAGTCCTAACATACAAAAACTATTGAATCGTCGGTTTGGTCCGGTTCAATAATTTTTAAGAATATTTCGGTTCAGTTCTCAGATCAAATATATTACTGTCAGTTCGGTCCAAATCAAGGAACTTAAAATCTAAATACAGATGTTGTTATGTAAACAAATAAAACGAAAAAACCTACAAATTTAGGTTAATATTTATATAGCAGTCCGGTCTAGTGTAATACTAAACGCATCATATGGTGTGGTCTGGGCTAATACAGACTGAATCTTACAGACTGGTCTATAAACGGTCCAAAATGTTTTAAGATCGGACCGACAGTCCGGTCCACGGTCTACTTTATTAAATATTATATAATTACTGAACCGGGTAGGTTAGAAATAATATGAAGCCGTCGGTTCAGTCTAATTTTGGTTTTTGATTAATGTTTAAGTGTGGTCGTGTTGAGCACTAACGTACACACATTTTTCTTTCTCTCCCACCATTCGAACTTACGATCGTTGTGGTGACAAACGTATGTTACGTAAGTTTCTCAAACGACTTACTTTGGAAATTGTTTGACGTGTCGTGTAACGCGGCACCATGCCTGGAAATCGGCATTGGGTCGGACGTCCGGTAGCAGATGCAGTACACGGTCAGTACGATGACGCACACGCCCAGTATGGAGACAACGACGAGCGAGGCGACCACAAGTATGGTGATGTTGATGCCCAACAGTGTAAAAGATGAAGCCCCTGCAAACGAGACATACGTTACCGGGTTATTATTAGTGTTGAGCATTATCCAGACAAATTGTCTAAATCAATTATCTTTTATTTAGGCGATAAGCCTTTATGTGACTGGGGAAAAAAAGTACTTCTTAAAGCGTCCTTAAAAGGTGTAAAATTAACAAATTTATTTTAAATTTAGCTAATTAAATATTTTTTCATTTAAAAATATAAATTTATTCATTTTATATGCTATTTAGAGATATCGTAGAATAACTAACCATAAATATTAAATATTTGGAAGAAAAATAAATTGAAAAACTGAAAAGGTTCCTAGAAACCTTTGCAGTCACATAAAGATAAACAAAATTGGTTATTTGATGAATTCTTGAGTAATTCATCTTGACAAATAAATACTTATTCGAAAAATTCGAAAAATTGAACTTGAAAGTTAAAAACTAATAACAATTTAAAATTAACGAAAATATTAATATTATTAATTTATTAACTTTATAATTAATTACTATTATTTTAAAAGTTGTGTCACTGCAATATATGATTAGTTATATTGTTTAAATTGTGCCTATAAGTATTATTTATATTTTACTTTGCTTAACACTTGGTTTAAAACATTATTCTGCTGTATTGTTTTTTACTATTTTATGCGAGTACAACGTTTACATTTCGCGCTACGTCTGGTCGGAATATCGTGTTGCGGTAATACAACAATTCGCATCGATGCGGACAAAATCCGCTATAAGAGACCCAAAAAATAAGTAAATAAAAAATAAAATAAAACCCGCCTTCTCGTCGGCAGTCCCGGTATTACGTTCTGAAGACGTTCGATTGATATCACGAACTCTTAAACAGAAAATCCAACATATTATCTGTTTTGATAGAAAAGGTTGAACGAAAATAATTCACATCGCAATTTCAACCTTTCCTCCTTGCCGCATGTTGATGCGGCAATGTTTTAAAAATTCACTGCGCTACGCGGACTCGTTTATCTAAACAGCTTTATCACGCAAGTAGGGTCCTGAAACTATTTTACCTGTCCGAACAAATGTGGTAATTTTTCTTTTATCTTAACTATCACAATATTGATTACTTTTCGATGAAATATTTGGAACACTTTTGGACTCGTCTAAACCGATTTTGTTTAACTTTCATCTTGTCTACGTATAACTAATAAAATATGTAGATATCCTATCAAATAAAAATTATTTTTCAACGCGATATTTTGATTTTCTTTGATGAGTGGTTCTAATACAAGAAACAACTATGTACATACTGGACGAGTTCATGGTTTCAATGTAATAGATTTTTCTCAAAGGATAATGATAAAATGAATATTCTAGTGCAACGTTTTAGTTGTGATTTATTAATTTAGATCTTTATAATCACTACTTGTACGCTATTGTTAACGTATTAAAATGGGTTATTTCAATGAAAAACGCCTCTTTCGTTTAAACCTAAACACCTGTATACATGAATTTATTTATATCAACATACATTATCATTGGTTAGGAGTAATATGTTCAATGTTAACATCGTCTGACTGATTAGTATTGTGGTGGGCAAACATATTAAAGAAACGTAAATAAGATGAATAGTACTATTAGTACGTTATAAAATGTTTTAAACGTAGGTTAGACTTTTTGCACGGTAAATTTATTTCCACATTAATACAGTATGTTTTGTATATTAGACATAATATACCCGGTATCCGGTGTGTTGTGTTCGAAAATAAATAATTAAAAACGACAGTGGTGTCCGCATTGTTTTCGAAATCGTTGAACGCACAATTGAGGTACAAATCGATGTACCTAGATATTGCATATCCTGTGGCGTGACGCGCATCCCTGAGGGTAAACATAGGTACACGTAAGGAAACGCAATGTTGAAAAAAAAATCGCGGAAGTAACCACTCGCTGCAATACTGTGACATGAAGGAGTATTTGCTGTCGCTTACATCAGTATACGCGATGCTGACCCGTAAAACGAGTAATGATCGCACGCGCGCGTGTCAGTGGTGTCTTATGATACAGTACTCGGATGTGTGCGCGTGTGAGATACATTTAGGCGTTCGCAACTGTTCATTCGGTTGCGAAAAGATATTTTGCGTTATTTTTTGTCGCTGATATTTCGATTTATTCGTTTATTCGTATTGTCTAAAAAATGCGATAGCGTACTCGCGATGACGAGCAGACGGTGTGAAAATACAAAAGAATGAAAAATAAAATGAAATCAATTAAAATGAACAAACGCTATGACCCTATTTTTATTTTTTCTTATTCATCGTTTAACTCTTATTCGTTTTTTATTTTCATTTATTTCGACCGTTACAATAATGTTTGGCGAACGTGCGCAAATTGAATCTCGTACCTTGACAAGTCGGTGTCGTCATTTCGTCCGTACCGTCGGGACAATGGTTGATGTTGTCGCACACCAGATCGTTGGAGATGCAATGCGACAGTGTTTGACATTTGAACTCTCTGCAGTTATGGACTGGAACAAAAGAAAGAGAAAAAAAAACAAAAAAAACACGTTTTTTAAACGTGGAGTCTTCGAAAACTGCGAATGTATACGCGTATTCAGTAATTTATTCGTTTTGGAAAATTGTGTTTTCGCAAGTGTCCCGCACGCCGACGTCAGTCATTACCGAACGATTGCGTTGTTACAGCACTCCACGCGCGCCAATATTTTTTTTTCCACCACCCACCACGGACTTTTAGGATTTTTTTTTTTTTTATTGTTACTCTATCTGTTTCTTGTGTATTCAATTGGTTTTCGAACAGAAGTCAATCGTGTACGCCAAACATCGGTCTTCCGGGACTAAGAATATGTTTTTTTTTGGCCGAACTCAAGAGTACGAATTGATTGAACATCATATAAATATATCGACGATCTCGTGTAGTTCCCGTTTGTATCTTATACCTTGGCGATGTAGCTACGAGCTTAGGGTTAGGGGATGGTAATTTTTTTCGGTCCCGAGTCGTTGGCATTTCGATTCGAAACAACTGCGTGATATTACGTTACATAAATAAACGTCGTACCATTCGTATTTAGTGTATACGTTATTATATTCCGCGATGGAAAAATTCGACAACGTTTATCGGAAAACCATAATTATGTCAATGTTTTTGCATTACTTTGAGCCTCGGATCGGTTGACGCACGCATTGTGTACGTTAATGATCGTAGTTATTGCGTATGGGAAATACGAACGGAAAAAACTTCTAAATTTTCTTCCGTGGGCAGTTTCGACTTCACCACCGAACGCTACGTCGGTTCGAATGTGCACTGCGTGAAACGCAGCAGGAAGCCTATTCGTCTGCAAAGTCTACGCTTTGTAAATAGAAACACACCCTCCGGGTCTTGCGTGTGAAAGTGGGAGCGGTAATAAAGACGGCGTTCGATCGGCGTAGCAATACGTGTGCGTGCGTGTGTTTATGCGCGCGTGCGTGTAACGGCAATTCGACGTGGCAAAAAGGATATTGGGTGATATATATTAACAGGCGAAATATGTATGTACGCATATAATTCGATCCTAACTGGGCCGGGGAACGGGTAGATGTTGGTTAAAAAATTACTTACAAGGATCTTTGAAGGCGGTTATAATTAATCTGAATCCATTGACACGCGTGCCCCACGAATCTGTCACGTACTTGAGCGTGACGAAATTCGTACGCGTAAATATTACGCCGACGGATTGTTTCGTACTGCTGCACGTGATGTCGGCCTGTAAAAACACGGAAAACAAAGACCGTTAGAAGTTTTCGTAATATATCATACGTATACGGGTATATGTATTTTTTGTGAAAACTTGAGGGAGGGTCGAGAAGTCTTATCGTGATCGCAATAATAATTATAATAATAATAATAATAATAAGTAATGAGTAATAACATCAATGCGTTCGTTTTGCGAATATTTCTAAGCAAGTTTTGACCATTTTTACCGGGGAGAAATATTATTCCAAACCCTGGAGCGATAACGTTCAAAGGGGACAGGGCACAGTACATTTGACCCGGCCATAACAGAACGACCGCGTCGTTTCGTAACGCATTATGTCCATAGGTGAACAGGTCCTTTCGACGTGGACAACGTATCGGATTTCGGACTTCCTACACAAAATCGGCTGTTGTGACATCACTGACTTATATACCGTCAAACAGTAATGCGATAACCTATTAACATCATTTCAATGGCTACGTCAACATTAAAAGTCTCTCACGGTTGAAACAGAGCAGCTCAGTCTGCTCATCGATGTCTTGAAAACGGCTAAACATTAATTTTGTAAATTACTCGCGGACAACACGTTAATCAAATCGATTGAAAAAGAGACGTAAAAAAAATAAATAAATAAATGTCAATGTTTAACCAGCGTACACTAATGATTAGAGCTAGGATTTTGGTGACTGAAACATTTTTTTTCTTCAAGTGCTATAAAGTTCTAACTAAAAACTATATTTATTTCGTGATATAACAATTTAGAATGTGTAATTTTTATTTTGCATTTTTTATGTTAAATGCGTTTTATTGCATTTTTACAAATATTACGTTAATTTTGTGTGTTTAAACCAATTTTTGTTTATTTTAAGTTTTTTTAATATGTGTTGTATAGGTAATCTCATTAGTAACGATGAACCCTCGGAAGCGAGAACTTAATTATCTGCGATTCGTATAAAGTTTTCGACAAAACCGTTAGAACGACCGACGCGGTGCACGGCGTACGTTGAATAAAGTCACTAACGCATTAATCGATTAACGTTGTATTAGTTGAATGTAGGCATTGGGTTTCGTGTATTGTGTACACTTCTCCAGGGGCAAATATTGTTATTAAATTTATAATCAACACGCGCGGGCTTCCTCGTTTCCATTGAAACAATCGATTCGATTTACCCCGATTATTGTTGTATACAACGCACGCACTTAACGTTATTATTAAATTTAGACCGCAATCAACATAATTATACGCACGTGTTCGTATACGTTCCGGACCGAAACATACTGGTGTGTGTGTGTGTGTGTGTGTGTGTGTGTATACGTGTGCAAACCGAGGACGGATGTGCGGTGAAACTGTCGTTTGCAGTTTTCGATGTTTGTCCGTTCGTTGGCGGTTTTACTTAGAGTTGCATCGTGCGAATAATAATCAGAATCGTAATCACCGCGATGTATGATAATAGGATCAGATAATAGGATTATAGGATCGCGTCCGTCTGAAATATGTGAATTAATTTATCAGAGAATTAATTGGTAGGCGTGCGCGCACGCATACACCTGCGGAAGAACCGGTAGAAGTCGCATCGAAGTCACCCGTGCGCGTGCATATCGTTAGTGTTGCAACTGTACAAGATTTGCGCTCGGTCAACTTTCCCCTGGTGGGCGTCCCGAAACGACCTTAATTATTTGAATACGCGATTGTCGTCGAAAAATATATCGTTCAGACGTGTTCAGAGTAAAAAAAAAAAAAAAAACAACCGTTATCCCACGCAATTGGATGGATCCGCACGATTGTTCGCATTTATTGGTTTTCGGTTTTAACCACGCGGTCTGGTGATTTTCAAGAGAAAACACTATTACTTTTTTCGGGCAACTATCAGTGTGATCAGTGCGATTAGCATGCTCAAACTTAATATCTCAATCAATAGTTCGATTGAAACTGTTGAATCGTACTCTAGACATGACCTGACTGTGAAATGGGTAATTTAAAGACTTTCATGCACTTCGGTCGTTAAACTGTAAGTACCACAGTGACGTACGATTTTCGTCGGAACGCTAAAATATTAATTATATTTGAAATTAAATCGTGTTGAGAGTTAAGCTTTCGAATCAAATGAACCAAATATTTAATGTGTAAATCAACGCACTACATCAGTCTTCAATCGTAAACGATCATGGTTTACGACGAAAAGTTGTAAATTTAATTGCTATAAAAATAAAATTGCAACAGCCGAACCTCGTAACTCGTTCAATACAATTGTTTATACAATACACAAAATGGTGACTTTGAATCTATATCCATGTGAACAATACGAATAGCAACGTACAAATCGATTGAAAATGGCTTTTTAGCACTTTTAGATAGTCCCTAAGGGCAGAAACATCTATAGAAATGAATGTTTTCCAACCGGTCAAGACCATAAGGTTAAATCGGACGCCCCGATCGATACGATATTCAAAAACGGTTGATAGATATGGGTGAGATGTGAGCGGAGAACGGTGTGTTTAAGATCTTTCCACAGACAACTTTTTCCTACAGTTTTTTTATTTATTTTTATTTTTTTTTTTTTATCTTTTTCTTTCTTCGCCCGACTAAGCAAATCGTTTCGACGACCGAGTCGTGGAACTCTGAAGTTGAAAAAACAATACAACGATCCTGCGCGTTTAACGGGCCGCTATGACCGGACGGAATCCTATCCGCTTGTGTTAATTTTTAAGTTACTACTGGATTCGAGATCTACTTTTACGGTCACTGGTCTCTGCAAACGTTCGCGAACGCGACGGGCCCTAGACGTTGTTCGCTCCGTGATTTGTGACTGCGACTGCTGTCCACCGAGCCCCGCAGTGTGGTTTTTCTTTTTAAAACGAACGGTACTTTTCGTTGCGTACGTGGTGCGTTTCGAGTTTTTCTCGTCCCCGTCCGACCAACACGTTTTTCCATCGATGCCGTCTGTATCACCGGCGATAACGGTCGAATTTTCTAGACCCCATAAATCCATTCATACCGCTGAGTTAGTGTCGTGTTGATTTTTCTAATGCGTTGGTTGTTGCCGCGTGATTATGTTGCGATGCCTTATCATTATTACTTTACGTTGGTTGTTGCCGCGTAAGATTTTATTGTCGGCTGTTGCAGCAGTACGCAGTACGCGGTAAGAATTTTCGGTTATTGATATTCGTTTATTGGTATTAATATATTGTAAACCGTTACTCGATATTTATTTGATTTTGAAAACTTATACACATAAAAAACTATACATACGGTCCACCTTTGGTTGGAGTCGGTTACCCCGGTCAAATAGATTTCTTTGCGGCCTCGCTCACGCACCATATTTGTAACGCACGCCCAGGTCGGCGATGCTCCATTGACACCCAGATTGACGCGTATGGATTTTCGTCGAGTTTCCAACAAAAGCATCTTAAATGCTTCTTCGACCTTTTTTCAATCGATACCGCAACACGATCTGCTCGCATTCTTGTAAAACTTTGCTCTTTTTACCACGACTTGACGACGCGTTCGAAACGCAAGTAGATTGTTGTTACCAACGGCCCGTTGACAAAGGGTTACCGTTCGATTTCCCGGTCGAGCGATTAGCGTTTTGCGAACCAACACGTACAGGTATATATGCTTTATGCGTTTTCCGCTGATTAAATGTACGAAACGTAATCGCTCTCGTAAAGCTTAAAGACGTTTTTTTTTTTTTTTTATTTACGAACGCCGGGGTCGGACAATTCGATCCGAACACGGTCCCGTTGAGAGTTTATCGAACCCGAGAAATAGGACGTAAGATATATTATTTTATTTGCGGTTTCATCTCTATCTCCGTGATAGGTTCGTTTTTCAAACCTACTTCGAACGCGTGCGCTCTGCAATGACGACGGTGCACTGAAGACGATTAGATCGTTAATTACACTGGTGCGACCTGGCGGATACTCGGCCCGCTCCGCCCTTCGATGTAACCGTTTGGGTCTTTCGTTGCACGCGGTATAATAGTTTCACGCGTAATCAATCAAACGCCCGTGGTCGACTAAATGTCCCGTTACGCGAACCTACGACGAGATAACCATATTTTTATATTTTTTTTTTTTTAAATAAAAAAAAAAAAATCGCAACGTAACTCTTTGATTAGGTAGAAATTTTTTTTTTTTTTTTGGTCTACCTCGAGCAACAAAATAAATACGTACTGTATAAAGAAAGGTCTGTATAAATATACTTTTTTTTTGTTCATAACATCGACCCAATTTAATTTTTTTTCCAGCTAAAAATAAACCTATAATATTTATACAGTATTTCTGTTATAAGAATTTCTGATTTATTAGAATTCTTTGCCACCGGAATAATCGTTGATATTATTATTTATCAACTCACGACAAACACAAATTGAAATATTTTTTCGAATTGAAAACGAAATCGATTGAGTAAATTAACTTGTGATTATGAACATTTAATTCGTATATTTCATATAAAATAAAAAAAAAATTAATTTGAATCAGTTAGTATAAATAACCTAAAAGTAACAAGTTAAGCTAAAAGATATTAAATAAAATCTTTAACCGAGCTTTAACTTTTAACACATTGATGCTCATTATTGTAGACAATGCAATGTATCCCGCTAGGATCAAATATAATAGCAAAACTTATTGTGTTAAAATAGATAGACAAATGATACCTGTACTTTTTTTTTTTTTTTTTTTTTTTTTAATAACTCAAGTGACTAAAATGTGAAACAATCGAAATTAAATTAATATTTTGATAAATATGTGACCTTTTATCATTATTATTTTGGTAAATTTTTAATATTGAATTATTATTTTTGTTAAACTTGGCTTTCTTATAATAAAATATATAATACTTGTTTACGTGGAATTCAATACAAATGCTAAACACTGCCGTGTCACTGTTCCCTATGCAACCATCCGAATCGATTGTTTCGCACACTTATTATTTTCCAACAGCCGTTAAACCTTGTATTATAAAATCTCTGCTTAAATATAACACTAAGCCCTCCCTCGACTCCAGC